AGGGCGTTGTGGTGTTATCCTCTTTGTATTCGGAAAGAATTGAGAGAGTGTTACAGTGTTGTCATGATCCAACCCGATATGACCTACAAATAAAACAAGTCATACCGTGTCAAATGGTGGCATGATTGATATCTCAAGATTAATTTGGAGAGAATGTATAACTTTTAATTCTAAAACTAACCTCAAAGCCACTAAAACTTCAATTAAAATAATGAATACTCGTCATCATAACATTTTTCATTTATCTCATAAATATTTACCATCAAAATAATTATATATAAATAGTACATAAGTCGATTAATACAAAATTGAACAGAAAAGTCATGACTGTCAAATCATATATCATACATATACATGCTCAAATATCAAGGCTTGCAAGTTGCAACCTTTCCTCTACTAAGCTTGACCCTTCCCTTTATCCTGACCTGAAACAGATGCAGAAAGCAAGCATGATTAACTCTCGCTCAACAAGCTATATTCAACCTATCCATCAAGCCTTTAATAATAATTGCCACCAATAATAAAGCATAATTACAAAAATAAAATAAACTTACCCGTATTGAGATTTAACCAAATTGCTTAAATAAATTAATAAATAAATATTCACATAGCAATAATTAGTATTTCTAAAATATTAATCAAATAGCATAACAATACAGAAATAGAGTAACAAAAACTTTGTATTCATATCTCAAAATAACATATAATATCCTAAGGCTTTATATCTCCCAAAAGATATCAAAATTCATAATTCAGATTCTTATGACTTCCTATGCTAGCATATCAGATAACATGTCCTCATTACTCCCAAATACATATTACTGTAGATATTTAGAGATTTCAATTCCTTATGACTCTCATCACATAACACATCAAAAGTTTTTCTAATTTTTTAAATTTACTCAAATTCACATATTTCAAGAACATTAATATACTTAGGTGAGTTAGAGTTTACATTTGTTGAGGTATGAGGAGAGTCGTTGGATGATAAAGTGAGAATGGATGGTAAGGAGAAGCCCAAACCCAAATATATGGGCTACATCTAATAGAAGCTGTAAGACCCTTCATACGAATTACTTTCAATGAAAGCAGTAAGACCCAACTTATCAAACTTATGGGCTACTTTCAATGAAAGTTGTAAGACCCAAGTTCTCAAAACTCATGGGATACTTCTATACAAAGTTGTGAAACTTGTTATACGGGCTACTTTAATAAAAGCCGTCAATGTCAACCCAAATCCAAACATACGGAGAACTCCTAAACAGAGTCACAAGACCTAATCAATATCTAAATAGGATCCGCAATTCTCAATCCAAACTAAATAACTTACTTCTATCCACTTCAGAACGAAGCCTAAGTTGTCGTTGCCACAATAGAGTGACCACTAACACGAAGGGATACAAAGCTGTAAAATGGAGATTGGAAAGTCGGGAAATGGAATGTATAGAGCGTAGGTATATTTTTAACAAGAGAGCTTATTGTGGAGATGTTGGATATACTAACTCATTGGTTTAGGGTTTAGGTAATGAGGAAAATCATGTTGGGATATTACTCAAATTGCAACAAGAAAGGTTAAGGAGCTGTGAAAGAAATTAGAAACTTTGTTCAACAAATGTAATATGCTGGAAAACATACTTTTTTTTGGGAGGTGGGCTAATAAATGGACTTTGGGTTTCAAAGTAACCAAATAAGACAAAAGAAGTTGATTTAATAATGAGTTTTTTGGTGCTCTAGCGAATAGCATGAATACCCAAAATTGCAAATTCTAGAGAGTTGGGAGGCTGCTAAACTAATTTTTAAATGTGAAAGGCCTAAAAAAGTTAACTTTTGCCATGTGGTTAATGAGGAAGACAATAATGTCAATGTAATTTGCTTATGATGATGTTAGCACTATCATGAATCATGTATTTTGATGATGCTTATTTCATGGAGCGGATATTTTCATATATGATTTGGTTTGAAAATTTTGGTTCATTTTAGTATTCCTATAATTTGCTTTTTTAAAGAAAAGAAGTAGAATAAATAATAATTGAGCATAATGAAAATAAGTGAGTTAAACATTAAGCAGCATTACTCGACCATTAAAATTTAACCTTGGTAGTTGACTAAACAAAATACATAACACGAGGGTATATTTTCACTTAATAAACATATGTAAACGTGCTTGAAGTTGGCTTTTTGTCGGACAACATTTAAAAGGAAACTCAAACTCGCACTACAAATCTAGCAAGTCAATCGTATCGAAAAAAAATTATCTTGTACCTCCATGAACAATCTCCTTCATCTGATTTTTATAAAAATTAACATTAAATTTATCTTAACGTGGCAACCAAGGATGATAGAGAATTATGTGATTCATGTCATCCACGGACCTTTCAAGTTCATCAGTTGAAGCACATTCACCTTCACATCGTAACTGATGGTAATACATTTGGAGGACATGTTGATCATGTGTAGAATGTCCCCTTTAATTTTATCTAACCTTGGCTATTCAATAAATTATTTCTCCCATACAAATTGATTTTCATCAAGTCTTCATTCAGGCTCATAAGCATATAATCGCGATCTTCTGTCAAATGATACATGCAATATCTAAATATTTCATTTTCCCTTAGCCTTCATTTCCAAAGGACTATCCCGGAATCTTCCTATATATTAATCTAATCATCCACATCCATTTCCTAGTAAATATTTTGTCGGAGTGCCCTTGATTTTCTCGGTAATTAGCCAATTCATTGTAAAAAAAAAGAAGTTTGAACCACAACTAATGTAGTAGGATTACCTGAGCAAAGCAACTCCTTCTACAACTTCTTCACTATCTTCCTTATAGCTTTTAGAAAGGTGTTTACACTACATATTTATACCCAAATATAAATTTTCAAAATAAATTAATTTATATTAAAAATCATAAAAGAATTGACAAAAAAGTAAAGAATATCAAAAATTAATAAAGATAATGCATACAAGTTTTGATGATGGAACAATACAACTTTGGTGCTCAAATCATATTATTTAAATCATGCATGTCACAACCACTTCAGTATCCAACGTCATCAATAATAGATGCACAAATTTTAATGTGTATAACACTAAGTATACATAACACAAATGAAAACAACAAAGATCAACTAGGGCTATATAAATATGATAGCATAATAACAAGCAATAACGATCGATTTATTCCGAAATTCATCTAATAATGATCTAGTCATTCCTAAATCGGTCCTCTAATTTTCACCAAGTATATGCTTTCTAAATTTAAAAAAATGAGGCTATAAAAATTTTCCTCATCCTAACTATAGACATAACATATACAAGAGGATATATATATATATGATCAACAAGCCAATTATGCTATTTGGTTTTTAAAATTGCGTCGGATCGATCGAATATCAGAATGAGTAAATATAAGTCGCCCGTTGAATATGTGACTTACATTAAATATCTATTTTTATGTTTATTACTTAGGCTGACAGCTTGCTGACTCAGCAATGTCTAGTCAGCTGCTAATCCTCCGTTAAACATGCAATTTTGCCTAGTTTTAAATTAATTTTTAAAAATGCTTATACACTTAATAACAATTTTAATTATGCTTACTTAAAAAATAATAGAAAATAGTAGAAATGATATTTATTTATCAGATTTAAACAAAAATTTAATTTTTAACAAGATACAATGAAAAAAAAAAAGATTGATATAGCCGAACCCACATAGTGGATTAAATATTTGATATTGTTGTATTCGAAAAAAAAAAAAAATTTAAATCAACTTGCTGAACTCATTTTAGAAATGAGGTTCACATATTCTTGACTTATTTTGGAGCTTAGGCGTTTCAAGTAAGTCAAGTCAAGTTAGATCAAATTAAACCAGTTCAATCAGCACAACTATTGTTTATTTTTGTCACTCCTACATAGGGGTGCAAACGACTCGAGCCGAGCTCGAGCTGGGGGTGTTTGAGTTGAGCTCGAGCTCAAAATCTGAGCTTGAGCTAGATTCGTCTTCCCGTCGAGCTCTGTTGTTGAGCGGCTCTTTGAGCTCGACTCGTCTTCCCATCGAGCTCTGCTGTCAAGAATCGAGATCTATCGATTGTTGTCGGGTCTGCCATTGAGATCGTAGTACCAAGCTGTCTGAGCGTAACCTTCGTCGTCCCGAGGACCGTCAGTCGTCGTCGCGAGGTCCGTTCGTCGTCGTCGTCGCTGTCAAGAACATTCACTCATCGTCGCGTCTGCCGTCGAGATCATCGTCCCAAGCGTAAATTTCCCGCTCATGAGTGCTCCATCGTTTAGTAACTTGGATTTCTCGCTCGCGACTTAAATTTCCAGCTCGCGAGCTCCATCAATTTGGATTTCCCGCCCATGAGCTACGCCGTTGAGCTGCTCGACGAGCTGACGAGTCGAGCAGCAACTTGTTCGAGCTCTAAATTGTGTTTGAGCTCGACTCATCTAACTTATTACAAAGTTAAATCCTAACAAGCTCGCAAGTTGACTTGACTAATTTGCATCCATACTCCTACATCCTCCCAAATCAGAAAATTTAAAAATGCAGAGGCGGAAAATTAGCCGCTGCTATATATTTTTTTTCCCACCACCTCTTGTAGGCAGCAATTTCAAGCCTTAAGGGCATCTCCAACCGAACTGCAAACACTTGTTTGCCGTTCTTGCTTTGCTCCAACCGATCGCCATTTTTGACGCCATTTGATCGCGGATGAACCGTCGCACTGTTCATCTGCGCCATTTTTTTCTCTCTACCTAACAGGTTGGAAAGAAAGGCGCGAAACAAAACGACTGTTTTAGCGGCAAAATGGTGTTGGATTGGAGATGAAATACGACATTTTTTGATTTCCCTGAATTTTGGAGTGAAAAATGACATTTTCAATTGGAGATGCCCTACGGGCAGTGAAAATCCACATCTAGGCCATTAAAGTTACGCGAGGGTAGAATAGACATTTGGATTCGATTTTTACGGCTGGAGGCATGCGATCCTTCTAGAGGAACGGGAAGAGCATACGGGAGTTTTTTTCGTTCGGCCTATTAAGAGCGGGAGTTGAGGGATCGTGAGAAACGGTGATGGCCGCTTTATTCCGGTTGTGTGAGAACGAGAGAGGAAGCGAAGGCAGAGCTGGGTGTGGTTGGGCACTCTCTACAGAGAGCGACGAAGGAAGCTGGGGGGTTCGGTTCTCCTGCAGCTGAGACATCTCTTATCTGAGGATCGAAGGCACCTGGGGCGTTTATTTTCTGAAGATCGAAGGCTTGGGTTGGGTCTCCTCTCAGAATCGGAAGCAAGGTTTGGTTTCTTGCCTCCCTTTTCTACAAATCAAATGGCTAGCATGAATGGCTGCTGTAATAAATCGTTTGCCTCTTGAAATCAATCAAAACCAGCAGCTATTCAGTTTTTCCTTTCTTGAGATTAAGAAAAAGGACAATGGCTAGATGAGGGGAAGTGATTTTACTTCTTGAGATGGACTGCAGGCTTTCTCATACATTTTTTTTACTAAAGGATAAGTAGAGAGTCTCCAGCAAATTTTATAAATCCTAAATGCTAGATAATTTCATTCCCGAATTGTCGATGAGTAAAAAATATGAGTCTATTCAACAACTGAACTGCTATTCTAGTTTCCTTCCGTGCTAATATTCCTCATTGCACATATAGCTTTTTTTAATCTCTGCTGTGATGGGATTTTAATGTTTAGCAGTAATTTTCCCTATACGTATCTTGTAATATCTTGCTTAACAATAAGGTTTGTGCCAAGCAAGATAAATAGTATACTTATGAAGATTTTATAGAATTTTATTCTACCATAACTACTTCCTTTTATATAAATATGAAATATGAGTTGCCTTGAAGCAATCACTTCAAACCCATATGCAAAACTTATAATTGTTTAAAATCACCAAAAATAACCATCAATAAGAAAAATTTATAAGGATAATTATTATAAACTTAAATGTTTTTGTTTAGAAAATTTTAGAATATACTTTCATCGATTTTATCCTCTAGTACAATAATGTATCATTTTTTATAGGATAATAATTTAAAAATAATCATCATTCAATGTTTTTAAGTGAAATATGTATTTATTTTACATGCTATCTTTTCAAATAAATAAAAAAATGACAATTAAATTAATTTAATTTAATAAAGTAAGTAGATTTTATGCTCTTTAGAGAAATCCTATGACATATTCATTTTCAAAACACTTTTATGATTAATTTGTCTTCACTCATTTTGATGTGAAAATTAAATCAACACACCTAAATGTTGTTAGTTCAAAACTCATTTATTTACAATTAAATTCAATAAAAAATAAAATTTAACAATTTGATGTATATTTTTAATTTTTATATGCAAGTATCTTTTTAATTCTTATAAAATTGAGAGAAAAGCTTGAATTAAACATTATTTTATTCTCAAATTTATTAAGATATCTAAAATAAAAAAAGTCAAAATTATTTGATTTAGTAAAAAGAAGGCAACTATAGTAACCTTTATTTTAGCACTAGTCATTGCGTCTAAAAAATATTAGCAAAATAAAGATATGCAAATAAGTTATTTATACAAGTTTTTTCTGCTAATCTTGTAAGTTCACATAGGTGTGACAAAACTGGTTGATAAGGTTGGGTTCAGGTCCAGCCCGAAATTGGCCCAACTCAAATCTAGCCATGTCGAACTCGACATATTAACCCATTTTGGTAAAATTTTTTATGACATTTTTTTTAATAACTTATTAACTGTAAAGCTTAGGATATTTGATAAAAATAAGAAGATTATACTTACAAGTAAAAAAAAAAATGAATAAAGATATTAAATGGTTCATTTTCGGGTCAAAAATGGGTTAGCTGATTAACCCAAACCGACTCGTTTCTTTAACATGTCAACTTGAACCTGAATTTTTCGTGTTGAGTTTGGTTTGGGTCATTTATTGACACTCGTAACTCTTAAGTTAATTGTAAACTTAAAAATTATAAGTGATAATTATTATTTTTATGTAATTGCATCATACGAATTCATTTTAGTACATATTTAAAAAAAACTTTAAGATATGAAAAATTATCACATATATCAATATTTTACCATTTTAGAACTAAAAAAAGATGAATGCATGTTACATGTAAAATTTAACAAGATAACAATTATGATAAAATATAACTTTTATATAAAAGTATTAATAGAAAATTTCTTACTTTTAATAGTCTACGGTGTTCTTAAAAAATAATGATTACATAACACTGTTAAATTTTTCCGCCATTGCCAACTTGATTCTTGTACTTTATTTTTGAATTTCATCATCAATAAAATATAACAAAATTTGTATTTTTCAACATTATAATATGAATTAAACAATAAATTTATAGATGAATATGAAACTTATAAAATTTGGCTTCAACATTGTTTTAACTATTGGTTCACTAAATGACACCTTATTAAATTTTCTTATAAAATTTGGTAATCTCCAAAACATATTTTTTTAGATAAGATTAAAAAATATATATGTTAATGGACATATCACAAAAATTAAAAGTGTGGCTAAATTGCAAATAGGTGAGAGCATTCAATTAAGATACATGCAGATGAGTTGTATGTTAAGGATGGAAGTGAGAGAGGTGGAGAGGGAGATTAAGATACAAATAAGAGATACGAAGTGCAAAAAAGAGAATATCAGCGAAAGAGAATGACTATAAAGTTTTTTAATTAAGATAATGATTAAAAGAGCTTATGAGCATGAAATAGAGAGACCAATGTGCGAACGAGAGACAAAGAGTGAAAAATGGAGCAACAACTAAAGAGAGGCTACAAAGTTCTCCAATTAAAGTTAAAATTATCAAAAACTAGTTGAACGCTCAAATGAGCGAGGGGTTCCAATTAAAATGCTAGCGAATAACCTAGATGACAAGCATGAAAAAGGGAGATAGTGATTAAGGTATGAATGAAGGATAAAAAGAGTGAGAAATAGAGCAACTTCGAGAGATAATTGCTATAAAATTCTCCAATTATGATCACAATGATCAAAAGAATGATTGAGCATGACAAGGATGAGTGTGAGGGAGAGAGAGGCCATGGTATTATAGAGAGGTATAGAGAGCGAGCAACAATAAAAGAGATTAGCCATAAAATTCTCCAATTAAAATCACAATGATTGAAAAGCGGCTGAGCATGCGGATGAGCGAGGGCGTTTAAGTGATATGCTAGCAGCTAGTGGATGAGCTAGACGACAAGCATAAAAGGGAGAGATCAAGTTGTGAATGAGAGATACAAAGTGTGAGAAACTAAGCGGCCGCAAAAGAGAGTGACTATAGGGTTCTCGCTATCTCTGCACTCCAACTCCATGGATGCACTTTTTGGCTGAGTAGGAAAGTCAAAATATGTTCGTTTATTTAAAGATATATAGAGTAGAAAAACTGTATATTTTGCTAAACTTTTTAATGAAAATTGTGAAAATAAGATTGATTATAGTGACCTTAGCACCCTAAATGATAATAAAGATGTCTGTTTTTATCGGCGTATTAGTAAAATCGAAGTTAGAGAGGCTTTAAAGAAAATGAATGATGGAAAAGCTGTTGGACATGATGTTATTCCAATAAAGGTGTGGAAATGCTTAGGAGATGAAGGAATTTTTTGACTTACTAAACTTTTTAATACTATTTTGAAGACTAAAAAGATGTCAGATGAGTGGAGAATGAGTGTGTTAATTCCTATTTTTAAGAATAAAGGTGATGCACAAGATTGTGCGAATTATAGAGGAATTAAGTTAATGTGTCATACTTTAAAACTATGGGAGCGAGTTATGGAGCATATGTTGCGGCGTGATTGTTTCATGGTCTGTGACCCAAAATAGTTGGATATGGCTAATAATGATCATAATGATCTAGTTTGCTGGCTAGAGGTCATTATATGTTTTAATTTCTTTAGAGTCTCTAGTTTAAATTCAAATTAATGAAAAACTGAATAATATACAGATTTGAATCAGAAGAGTATTTGATACAGTTCCTAGCAAAGAAATTGGAAATTTCTATGAATACTAAGCACTATTTGATTACTAACTGACTGGTTTGGCCTGCAATTCTCCGGCCTCTCTGGGATGCGTCATTGTAAATGAGCTTTCAATAACCTGCAATCTTCAACTTTCTTGTCTACTACCCTATTAAAACATTGACAGTTACGTGATAGTTGCTAAAGGACCAATTACTGATACCATATGGTGTTTATATATTTTTTCAAGTAATTGTTTTCTTTAAAACAATGTTTTAATTTACCTTCATTATATTTATTATCTTTCTCTCGTCATCACTGTTATAATCATATTTGTTATTCTCATCATTTGTTCAGAGTGATGGTGAAATAGATGGGTATATTATCAGCAGAATTCAAGTTGGGTGGTTGAAGTGGAGGAATGCATCGGGCTTGTTACCTCAAACTTAAGGGAAAATTCTATAAGATGGTAGTGAGGCCTGCAATGCTTTATGGTGCCGAATGTTGGCCATTAAAAGAGAAGCATAATACTAAGTTAAGTGTGGCAGAGATGAGGATGCTCAGGTGGATGAGTAGCTTTACCCTTAGAGATAGGATACGAAATGAGCATATACGTGAAAAGGTTGGAGTAGCTCCAGTAGAAGATAAGATTAGAGAGAGTGGCCTTAGATGGTTTGGTCATATAAAACGACGACCTTCCAATGACCCGGTTAGGAGAGTAGAGGTATTAGATTTGATTTATGTTAAGAAAGGTAGAGGCAGACCTAAAAAGACTTGGTTAGAAAATATTAGGAATGATATTTCTTTATTAGATTTAAATGAGAATTTGACCTTTAATAGGACACAATGGAGAAAAAAGATTCATGTAACCAACCCCATGTAGTGGGATAAAGGCTTGATGTTGTTGTAGAGTAGAAACATTGTAGTGTAGATTCAACGTGGACTCTAGATATTCTCTCGCTGCTGCTGTCTTTCTTGCTCTCTATATTTCTTGGTTTCAATTTGGTATTTTAATCCTTGTCCATCCACATTGTCTAGTTCATCTGCAAGCATCTTAATTGGACGCCCTCATTTATCTTAAATTATTCTCTCTCGTTGTTGTTATATTTCTCTCTCTTTGTATCTCTCGTTTGTACCTAGTTTTCTCTCTCTGTATCTCTCTCTCATTTCTCTCTCTCTCTCTCTCTCTTCAATCCTTGCCATGTAGCTCATAACACACTCAACTATTCTTTTTTGTTGCTCTCTTTCTCATTCTTTGTCTCTTGATTACACCTTAGTCTCCCTCCTCCTTCATCCTTGATGTATAATTCATCTAT